GCGGGAGACGTCGGGGCCAGAGCCTCTTGGCCTAGGCCAGCTGGCCGCCAAAGGGAGCCGCTCGGCCTGGGGGGGCCGGCTTGGGCCGCGCCCCCCCGCCCCAGCTTGCTTGCTGCTTCAGGCTTCCCGTGAATCAAGTGTTCGCGGGAAGCAGGGGAGGGGGAGGGGCGGGGGGGGGCGAAGCGTCCAGGGGAGGGGGCGGAGTTGGGGCGGGGCCAGGGCCTGTGGAGTGTCCTCTTTTTGGACACTTAAAATATGGTAACCCTAGAGTAGCCTTGATAAGGAAGAGCTGAGCCTAATTAGATTAGGATGGGCTGAGGAGAGACCAAGAGGCTAATTAGTCTATTTCCCAGGGGATAGAATAATAGAATCATAGACTGTGGGACCTCGAGAAGTCATCTAGTCCAGTCCCTTGCCACTCATGGCAGGACAAGTATTATCTAGACCATCCCTGACAAGGCACAGGAAGGAAGTGCTCAGGTGTGCGGGGTGTGTGAGGGAGACTAGCAGGATTTTCAGCAGAGCCAGGTAAGATCTCTCAGGGGGAATTTCCCTTCTCTCTTCACCCTCCTTGGCTGAGTGAACTAAGGGTTGTATGGTGCATAGGCGCCGACTTCCCCTGTAGCCGGGGTGTGCTCAACCTCCCTCTCCACTCCTTCTCCAAGTCCCCGCCCTGCCTCTTCCCGCCCCTGCTCCACCCCGTCCCGCCTCTTCCCTGCCTCCTCACCCGAGCGCGCCCCATCCCCACTCCTCTCCCTCCATCCCGAGCTTCCTATATCCTGTGAAACAGCTGTTTGCAGTGGGTGGGAAACTCTGGGAGGGACGGGGAGGAGTTGGTCAGCAGGGTTGCTGGCAGGTGAGAGGCGCTGGGGAGCTTGGCTGCCGGTGGGTGCTGCTGTGCAGCACCCGCTAATTTTTCTCTGTGGGTGCTCCAGCCCTGGAGCACCCATGGAGTTGGCGCCTATGGTATGGTGTTGCAAATACAGAGTTGCACTAGTTTGTATAGATGGCCGGAAGAACATGGTGAAACAAACCACCAGTTGTTTGACCAGGAAAAGATCTCTGAGCGGTTTGTTCCTTGGAAAGAGGCAGGAGCGAGATCCCATCCTAGGGTGACCAGATATCAAGTGTGAAAAATCGGGACGGGGGTGGGGGGCAATAGGTACCTATATAAGACAAAGCCCAAATATCACAACTGTCCCTATAAAATTGGGACATCTGGTCACACTATCCCACCCTGTCACAGGCCCCAAAAGCTTTGGACCAAAATCCCTATGAAGTCAAAATTCTAAACTATAAATCTTGAAAATAAAAAATCCAGAGAGGGTCAGTTTCCTTTACTGGTATTTAAATGCTTTCCCCACAAAATCATACCGTACTAGCATGCTGGTAGGAACATTGTCACAGGTGGATTTTCTCTGTCCTCATGATAATAGTTAACCCCTCGATAGTACTCATCACCATGTATTCTTTGACAGGTTTCCATGTCCTGTTTAGGGTTTATGTGCTGCCCTCCGTTCCCGTTTCCAGTTGTGTACAGGTTTGGTGTGGTCGGCCATTTTGAATTTTTTTTATTATTATTATTTTTCTGTGTTGGACAGGGGAATGTTGTGTGCTTGTGGTTTGGTTGATTTTTTAGAGAAAAAGTATGAAAGAATAGAAAGACAGGCCTTAAAGGAAAGGCGTTTTTTAAAAAGAAAGATTGTTTGGTTAGGTTTAGTAAGGAGAGATGTTGGTTATGAAAGAAAAAGTTTGAAAAGAGTAAAAAGGAATAGAAAAATAGAAAAAAATGAAATCATAGAAAATATTTGAAATAAATTAAAAAAGCAAAAGGTTTATTAAATAAAAGAGGAAAATATAAGGTGGATTGAGAGAGGTTGGTTATTAAAGAAAATAAAGATTTTTGGTTAGGTTTATTAAGGAGAGAGGGTTTTAAAGAATAGAAAGAAGAAAAATAAGCACAGGGCAAAGAAAGAAGGGTTTTAGAGAAACAAATAAAAAATAAAGCAACAAGAGAGTCTGTGTTGCTGAACACGTGCAGAGCAAAGCATGGTACCCCTACGACTGCCGGTAGTGAAATGATAGCTGTCCTGGGTGGCGAGACTCGGGAGGAAATTACGTCGGACCAATCAGAAGCTGTTTTACAACTATGTCATAGAACACATTTTTTCAGATGCAGGCTATCGTGGAGCAGATTATTTGAAAAACTCTAGCCAATGAGCATTTGACCATGTGTATAAAGCTGTGCATTTTTGTGAATGGTGGTTTTAAAATTGGGAGCCTAGACACTACGGCCATGTCCTTTTACAAGATGCCTACAGACATCAAGAAGCCCGAATTGTTTTTGGGTGCCCCTAATTGTGTTCAGAAGAGACACCCCATTTACACTTTTTTTGCTAAAGAGGCAGCTGCAATGCCGAACCCAGCGTTTCAGCCTGAAATAGAACCGAAGAACCAGGAAGACTTTTTGGAGTCGTCGCTGGTTGTAAAAAAGGAAAGGAATAGCATGTGTGAAAAAATTGTTGCCAGCTTTGGAGGAAGTAGACTCGAAGGTGGAGGTAAGGTGATTTGTATTCTTTTATAATAAAATGTTGAAAAATTATAAATGTTTTATATTTTATGGTTAAATATATTTGTGCTTTTTATAGGTAGGACTGGAAGAAGAGTCTGTATATGGGGACATGGCAGCTGAGGGATCGTTGGAGGATAGGGATGCTGAAAGCCAACTGACAGACCCTGAGTCATGAAAAGATGGAATCATTGTTATGGTAAAAGCAACTGAAAGTTTTGTGAAAAAATTATTACAATTATGTGCTTAAAATGGATTTTTTGGTTTTTTGGCAGATAACCAAGCCAGGACCATACAGGATCACAGCTCTGGTGTGTAGCGAGTGGCCATCAGATACAGAGCTAGAAATGCATGATGAGGTAAAAACAGCTTAAATTATTCTGAAAGAAAATATATATATATAAGGTGGGGTTAAACACAGCTATATGTCTGTGTTTAATAACAGGGACCTGATACGGTTTCTGACGGCGCGACTGCTGGGGATGATGATTTAGAAACAGACGAGGGTATGATTTAGGTAGCACAAGTAAATTGTTTGCCTTTTTTTATTTTTAAAAGATTGCAACAAAGAATTTAAAACATTCTTTTTTCTCTGCTTTTGACAGACATCTTCAGAGGATGAAGAGGATAAAGAGAGACGTACTTTGAGAGGAATAACCATAATATTCACCTGCTGGTTTCGCATGAAGCATGATTTAAAAAAAAGACTGTGAAAAGTAAGGAGGTTGATCAGCAGAGCTGCAAAGATGACATTATGGCTGACATTATTAGGGCCGTTGTAGTAAAAACCATTTACCACTGTTTGAAAAGAGAGCTTTTTGAAAACTCTGCAGCCTGCGCGAGAGAGGCTTCCAATGATCTCAGCCATGTCTGTTTGTCTTGGGATTGCTCAGAAACATTTCACCAGATTAAGATATATTTCTTCTCATCTCAACGTGGTTCAGGTCCTAAATATAATTATGGCTGAAGCCTACAAACTGAAGCAGCTTAACATGACCATTGAAACTGTAACCAAAGTTGTCAAAACGATCAGAGAGGGAACAAAGACACCAGATCCATTGGTATTGCTGGTAGTTCTTTCAAAGAAGGTGTCAGCAGAAATTGGCCGATAGGTGTGTAGTATGGTTCGTAAAATGAGTCCTAAAACTTTTTACATGCCAGTTCCTTATCCTAAAGGGTCAAAAATAAAAACCTGACTTTTGATTAAGATGCAATGTAAAATAAGAAAGACTTGTATAACTGTTCTTTATATTCCTTTGCTTCTGTATTAAATAAATTTTGTTTAGCCATATCCCATATTACTCTGCTTCTGCATTAAATAAAAACTAGTCTTTCAAAAAGTAAGATGTGTATAGCCAGTTCTGTATTAAATAAAAACAAAAGCAAATATTGATCATGCGTATACATGTGTTTTAAAGTAAGACGGGTTATACATGGCAAGGTTGCTAAAGAAAATTACCCCTCTACCCCGATATAACGCGACCCGATATAACATGAATTCGGATATAACGCGGTAAAGCAGTGCTCCGGGGGGGGCGGGCTGCACACCCTGGCGGATCAAAGCAAGTTCGATATAACGCAGTTTCACCTATAACGTGGTAAGATGTTTTGGCTCCCGAGGACAGCGTTATATCAAGGTAGAGGTGTAATTACTTTCCAGGGGAAGTTGGGAGTTTTGGCAGTGTAGCACCATTATTTCAGACCACTAAAAACACTGTCAAACTTTGAGCAGAAAGCAGTTGGAGCTTGGCTTGCGGATCAAGCTGCTTACACTTTACATAAACAGGCACGAATTAAATTTAAAAGAAATGAAACGGTTGTGTCTGATGTGGACACACAAGGGCAGGCGGATTTGGTCGACATGGCCCCACTATTCTAACCACAGCAATGGTTGTAAATATATTTTAATGGTGATAAATATTGTGTGTAAATATACCTGGGCGGTATCTCTAAAGAATAAGATTGGGGAAGAGGTGGCAAAGGTGTTTAAAACTATTTTTAGACAAGGCTGCTTGCCTCAAAAATTACAGACAGATCGAGGATAAGAATTTTTAAACAGCTTTAAAGACGTTTCTGACATTCCCCTGGAGTTATCCGGACCGGATGCTCGGTCATTCCAATCCTTAACTCTGGGAGCCAGTCTTACTCTGCTGTAAGAATCCCCACTCCTGGGCTCCCCTCAGTCAGGTCCATCTTGGGTGGCAGGGAGCCTAGACCCTAGGTCTCTCTCCGTTTCCCCAGCCAGCTCCAAACTGAAACCCCGTCCAGCCGTCTCCTCCAGTCACGCCATCCGGCTCATCCTCCAGCCTTTGTCCAGTTTCCCGGGCAAAAGGTGTCACCTGGCTCCAACCCCCTCCTGGGCTCAGGTTGCATGCTCAGGTATCGTCCCTCAAGTGAAGTCACACCCTGATATCCCATCACCAATGCAGACAGTACCAGTAAAACTCCCATGGACCATTCCCAGGTCAATACTCCCCACTCCCTACTCCATCACACCACAGCAAGCTTATATGAGTTCATCAATTTAACAAAGAAATTGATATGTATCAGGCTTGTTATCCCAAGGAGAGTCTTTGACACGCTTCAATCCAAATGCACTGCTTCAGGTAGAATAAACAAACAAATTTATGAACTACAAAAGATTTTAAGTGATTATAAGTCAAAGCACAAGAAGTCAGATTTGGTCAAATGAAATAAAAGCAAAATGCATTCTAAGCTCATCTTAACACTTTCAATGCCCTTACAAACTTAGATGCTTCTCACCACAGGCTGGACGTGTGCTGCCAAGTGGTAAAAGAAAACGGGTCAGACATTGACAACGACGCCAGGGTTGCCCTAACAAACTACCCCATCACCACCTTTTTTAACCAGCTGGATATCACACTAGGCGGCCATCTTATCAGCCAAAGCAACAATTGTTACCCTTATAGAGACTTGATAGAGCTGATTCTGACCTAACCTAACCAAACCTAGCCAAAAATCTTTCTTTTCTTTAATAACCAACCCCTCTCAACCCACCTTTATAATTTCCTCTTTTATTTAATAAACCTTTTGCTTTTTCAATTTATTTCAAAAATTGTCTATTCTTTCATTCTTTTCTCTTTTTCTATTCTTTTTTACTCTTCATACTTTTTCTTTCCTAACCAACATCTCTCCTTACTAAACCTAACCAAACAATCTTTCTTTTTTTAAAAACTCCTTTCCTTTAAGGCCTCTCTTGCTATTCTTTCATACTTTTTCTCTAAAAAAATCAACCAAATCACAAGCACACCACATTCCCCTGTCCAACATAGAAAAATATATTTTTTTCCAAAATGGCCGCCCGTGCCGAACATGTACATGACCAGAAATGGGAATGGAGGGCGGGACATAAAACCTAAACAGGGCATGGAAACCTGTCAAAGAATATGTGGAGATGAGTACTATCGAGGGGTTAACTACTTATGATAATCCTCATGTGATTGTTGAGGACACTCAGGTGATGCTTGGAGAGAGTAAGCATTGCTTATCTGCCGTTCCATAGTTCAAAATCAAAACTCAACTGTAGCTTTTGATCTCTTTGCATCTTCCTTGCAATCCACATCTGTTTGCACGATTGCCTCCGCATTGCCATTTCATAAATATTATTATGACTTCTTATTTTTGTAGCATCAATGGTCTGCTCTGTGTTTTACAGACAGACAGTGGGACATGGCCATGGCCCCGAAGAGCTTATAGCCTTGACGTGACAATTTACATACTTTTACTACATTCTAAATACAATAAATTAGCCACCACTGCTACAGCAATAAGGGAGTGAACCAAGTTCTAAGCACAAAGTGATGACATGTTGTTGCTGTTTTTTCTGCATATTCAGACACCGCATCTGCTTCAGAGGAAGAATCCCTGCCAGACAACAAACAGAGAAATGAAACTAATAGAATCAAGAGACAGAAAAGACCTACTAGATCTTCTGGTTAGTCTGCCTGCCAGTGCAGTGTGGTTCTCTCATGTATATTTACTAGAGTTTTGTACAATCTCATTTCAAATGTTCCAGGTATTCTACATTGTCCTCATCTCCTTCCAAAATGGGTTTGAGGTCCCTGCACTTATGGGGCAGAGGCTTAATTATTCCAAAGACTAATTCCCTCTCTATACTCCACAGGGGGAGCTGCAATAAACATGTGCACTGAACCTGGAGGCCCATAGGGTGAAATACATGAAGCTCAGGGGCAGAGTGTTCTCAGGGGTGGACATTCGGCTACGGAATGCTCTATGGCTGGAAATCAGGACTATCTTGAGTCTAGCAACATTCAAAGCATGGTCCACTTCTTTATGCAGTCCTTCTCTCAATAACATATCACAGATCCAAGTTCAGCAACGTACTTAAGCATGCCTAACCTTAAGCAGGTGAGTAGACCCATTGAATTCAATGGGAAGTTAGGAAAAAATAACTGGAAATAAGACACAATCATAAAATGGAAGCAGCATTGCCCAGTGCTTAGGACTGAGACTCAAGAGAAATAGGCTCTATTCCCAGTTCTGCCACTTGATTTCTGGGTGACCTCGGGCAAGTCACTTCATGCCCCTGTGCCTCAATTTCCTCCATCACCGATATCTACTATTATAAAACACATATGATTGTTTCCATAGGCTGTATGTCACATGTAAGCATCTGAGAGAGCTGGTCAGTTCTTGCTTCCAAGTTTTGATGGTCACACTAGTTTTCAGTATTCTAAAATCCAGAATTTATCTATTGGCAATTAAACACAAGGTATTAGCGACTTCCTGATCCATTTTGTTCCAAACCTCATTACAGTCTATTCCCAGAAGGCATAAAAAAGTAATAAGCTCCGGATTTCCAGTGTTTTCCAAACAGAATTTATAGATATGAGAATGCGAATTGTGCATTTGGGGAAAACTCCAAAATAGTGAAAAATGCATTGATTGGGGGTAAGGGCTTTGGGACATTTTGTGGGGCAATCCCTCCAGATTTTGTTAATAAGAGTCAGGGAATAGTTTAATCTGTGTGTAATTGCAGTACTGCATCTGGATATATTTGGTGCATATTGAGGGATTTAGAGACACGAAGCAGAGCATCATTCCAATCCTTGTCTGCAATTTCAATCCCACATTTTTATTCTGGGTTTATGGAGTGGCATGGCAATTTTGTGTCCAATGCTGACAGCAGGAAAGAACAGAATCAAGTTATAAATTATTTAGGATTAGTGGTTAATACTAGCAGCTTTTCAATATTGACTGGTTGAGAGGGGAAGAGAGCTTGATATTGCTTCAGATATGAAACCACAGAACTGGAGAAATACACATCTTAAAAAAAATCTTGTTAGAATTTTCCCATTCTTAATGGCATCCTGCTAGTCCTAGAAACACATGTTTATTTTAGATTTATTTATACACGGCTTAATTAATTATTTATACAGGCTAATTTTTTGCAATTATTTCAAAATAATGCTTTAATAAAGGGTTCAATCCTGCAGGATGCTGAGTACTCAGATCTCATCCAGCAAACAGATGCTTAACAGTCCCTGCCCCGTGGAGGTTACAACCTGAATAGGCAAGACAGAGAGGGAATCAGGGAGGAAGCGACTTGCCCAAGGTCACACAGAGCATCAGTGGCAGAGCTGGGAGTATACTCCAGGTGCCCTGATTCTCAATCCAGTGCATAGGCGCCGACTCCGTGAGTGCTCCGGGGCTGGAGCACCAACGGGGAAAAATTGGTGGGTGCTCTGCACCCACCAGCAGCTCCCAGCTCATCGCTGCCTCCGCTCTGCCTCTGCCTCCTCCCCTGAGCATGCCGCGTGCCTGCTTTCCCCCCTTAGCTCCCAGCACTTGCGCCGCGAAACAGCTGTTTTGTGCGGCTGGGAGGGAGGGGAAGGAAGGGGAACGCAGCGCGCTCGGGGAAGAGGCAGGGCTGGGGTGGGGATTTGGGGAAGGGGTCCAATAGGGGCAGGGAGGGGGCGGAGTTGGGGTGGGGACTTTGGGGAAGGGTTTGGAGTGGGGGCAGGGCAGAGGCGGGGAAAGGGTGGAGTCGGGGCGGGGCCGGGGACTGCGGAGTGCGAGCACCCACAGGTGCCGGGGAAAGCTGGTGCCTGTGACCAGTGCCCTAGCTGCTAGAGCAGTGTTTCTCCACTGGTGTTTCATGACCTCCAGGGGGGTTATGAAAGGCAATCAGCGAGGACTGCAAGGCACTGAACATTTTACTACAGTCTAAAGTAAAGAAAACCTTGCTCCCCTACTCCCCTGTGCTTCAAGGTCAAATATTCTCCATAAATCTCTCTCAAGACACACAAATTATCTAAGCTTAGCATTATTAGCATAGATAT